CTGCTGATCAGTGTACTTAAGCTGGAGAAGAACAAAGATATTTCCTTGACTTTCCTGTATACTGCTCTTCTAGAGCTGTTAATATTTCCCAATAACGCTGGCTTTTCAGAAACAGCTGCTATGAGAGAAAGACACACACAGCTGCAGAAGAAAACAACAGGAAAGCAGTTCAGAGCTCACCAAGCAAATAAATTTTTGACTCAAACCAGGCACAGTTCCAACTTACCTCTTTCATTTGGTTCGTATCTCTGAATTAAGGCAGGGGCAGCAACAACAGCATCTTCTTCCTGCTGTGTCTCATAAAGGAACCTCACCAGATTCTGGCAGGACATGAACCCTTCAGCATCTGCATACTTTTGGAAGATTTTGTCTATTTCCTTCCTCTCTGTCAATATCTTGTAAAATTCCTCTATCTCCTCATCCTCCAGAGCCTCTGTTTTGGACTTGTCACAATGCTGTAAACGTAGAGGGGAGAAGGAGTGAAAACCTTCTTTCCTTCTGGCATACGCCAGCCGTAATCTGCACCAGGGCTACACAACGCAGAACACAAAATAATTGGACAAAGTTACCGGCCAGTGAACGAGAAGCAATTGGTTGATGGTTCTCGATGAGAAACCCAAGTCATAGAACAGTTAAAATTATTATTATTATTATTATTAACTCATATTATCGGTATGTCTATGAGCACCAGGCATGGCCCTGAGCTCCACTACAGCAAGTGCTGTGCAGACAAAAAGTTAAAACGAAATCACTTGACAACCTAAGAATGAAGCAAGCATCAAGAGACATTTGTAGACCAAGAGATGAAGAAATATAGGGAAACACTTAACTCAGTGCATCTTAAATGATTGATAGAGTCCTTGGATTAAAATATAGTAAGCAAAGTTAAAGGAGCCTTTATCTTTGATCTATTGCGACAGATAGAGCTATAGCCCTGGGTTTTATGTATGGAATGTGTGTCTTGGCTTAATCAGTCTTCATGCTAATCTCAGCCTAACTCTGCTGATGACCTCACTGATGGCCATAGTGATCTTGGCAGATCCTCAAGCAAAATGATAATGAGAGAATATTTCTCCCTCTGGGATGCCAGCATGGAGTGTTTTAGTGGCAATTTACAACCCACTTATAAAACCAAATAAAACGATCACGATGCATTGTGTCCTGCTGGCTGAGCTAATGACAAAGATTTTCACTTTTTGTTACGAATTCAGGATCTGCTAGGTGAAAGCTGTGGGTGTCTCTCAGTTGTGAGAAAACCTGTGAAATGCTTAGTGCTATGGGGAGCTTCAAAATAGGTTTGAGCACTCCTGGAACCATCCTTTCATTGCTGCCTTCCAGGACTGCACCATCCCATGCTGTGATCTGGCAGATCTCAGCCTAAGCAGAGCATGGTATTTAGTGACTGAAGAAGGAATGGAAAGAGGGAAACAGGATGGCATAAACTGCAGGAATGTGGTGAATGACAGGTTTTCTTTTCTTTAAAACAGGAATATAACATGTGAACATAACATGATGAGCAACTAGAAAAGTTATGTGTAGAGTCTGTTTGCATTGCATATGTCTTACTCAGATGTGCCTGAAACCTATACGTGGTCACAGAGTTATATGATGGAAAGAAAGAATAATGTGACACATGCCCTATAGTTCTCTCTCAAATACTTATTCACCCTTCCTTCCTGTGACTAAATGAAGAAAAAACTCACTAATATGGAAATGATCACCCTTATAAGACACTGTAATGTCTCTCATCCCATCTAAGTTTAGGTAGCATGTAAACTAGGAAGATAATTATCTACTTTAGGCTACCTCAGCGGTCAAATAGAGCAAGACAGACTTTTGCTGGAGGCAAATCAGACAACGAGAGATCTGAATTCATCTCCAGAAAAGCCTTGATTTCCACTGGATATACAGCAAGATTAGAATAATTACCTGTCTAATAAGGGTACTTCAGTTAGTTGCCTGCAGTTAGATGGGATGAGTCAGAGCTTAGTAACTCTTTGGACTTCTAGAGGAAAAACAAAAAAACAAAAATCCAAAAAGTAGAATTCAGCAAGTTTCTACTCCTAGACCTTCCTTCTAACTATTGAAACAGCAAGAGGATTGCTGAAAGAAGGGGAGACTGTGCCTCCAAGACAAAGGTGTATTTTCAGATGCTTGATGTTTAAAGATATAGGATTCGTCTGTATGAAATATCTCCAAAAGAATAGGCAAATTGTGTCCCAATCTCACTGAGCTTTATTGTCTTGACCGACATAGACTGAAAAGAAAGAATAAAGTGACTTCTTCTAGTGTAGACAACTGCCCTGGAGACATCTAACTCAATCAGAAGAATCCTGCTGTTCCTTCAGGATCTCCTGAGTGGGGAAGAAAGGAGAAGACACACTAGCAGTTTATCAGGAGGATTTTGCAAGGAAAAAATCTTAAAGATCTGCTGGACACCTTCCCTCTTAATCCTTGCAGAGTTACCAGAGAGAGTGACCTCTACAGAGCAAGGATTAGGGAACAAGTTCCTCCCTTTAGGGGAGTTCTTAGTGAAACCTTCCCAATCTCTCCTATCACCTGCCTGCAGGAAGGAGAAGAACTACTGCTCAATGGCCACAACCACCCACCTGCTTATCACTGATAAGAAAGAGCATCTCAGATACCGCCCACCCATGAATTCAAATCCTCCTTCGGACGTGGTGAAAATTTGGAATTTATCCAGATAGTTTATCTCTCCTAGGCAGGAAGGCTCCTCTAGAGAGACACTAAAAACTTAACAGCTCAGAAATTGTCATCATTTCCATTATCTTCCTGTAGGCTCAGCCAGCAAGCCAAATCTCGAGAAATTAGAAGTGTATGTCCCTGAGCAGATTAAACATGCCTTAGGCTATTAGAGCAACTAGACTGATCCAGGCCTGTGTGCAATGCCACATATCTCTCTAGATTGTTTTGCTTTTTCTTTTTTTTTTCTAATCTGCCTTTTTTTTTTTTCTGTTTTCAATGGTCACTTGACATCTTCCTCTGGGAACGTGCCACATATCTCTCTAGATTGTTTTGCCTTTTTAACTTTTTTTCTAATTTGCACTTTTTTTCTGTTTTCAACAGTCACTTGACATCCTCCTCTGGGAACATAAAGATTTGGGCTCACAACTGTAACCCCTCTGATGTCAGGTGGGCCTAAGCATTGCCACGTGCTCATGACATGCAGAACTACCACAGCACCTCTCAACATCCATTTGCATTTCACTTTTTTTTTATATTCATGCATGTGTCCCATCTTTCTACCAAACCTGGTAAAAAGTGACTTCAATGGTAAAGGCAGAAGACCTTCATCAAAGATACCTGCATCAGAAAAGAAAGATACCTTCATCAGAAGTGCTGTGCTAGACTAACTTAATTGTCAGTGGGAACCTACTGAACACCAAAAACCATGAGTACTTCCTTGGTGCAAAAAAAAAAAAAAGATGCTACAATTTCATATTAGCTGAGATCTCCAACTAAAGCTGAAACGCTGTGAGAAATCATTACCTCAGTCAACAGCAACTTTATGTGCTTGTTGTCTTTACCTGGAAAATTTTTTTGGCATGATAGTCATCAACTTCGATATTAACTTCTTTCAGGAAGTCCTTGAGTTCCTTCAAGCTCATCTTGTTGTCTTTGTTTTTATCAGCTTTCCGCAGGCAACTATGAATCCAGCTGCAAGATGATGTAAGGAAATCTCTCCAGGCCAGTGCCTAGTCTAAATACCTCCTAAATACTTAAACGATGGGGGGCAAAAACCCTTCTGAAGTCTCAGAACCACATCTCCAGCTGCTGCAAATCAGCATGGTACCACTGAACATCTTGCATCATCTTGCCTTCTGCTTTGAAAGGGCAAAATGGTGCTTTGGCAGCAACAACACTTTGTAATATGAGCGATCCAGATCCAGGAGAAGCTTTTCTCCATCTGGCCAAAGCTGGATCAACTCTACTTAGGAGTTTCTGGCCACAGGCAAATCATAAAGTTGTCTTATTTCTCTCTTATGACAGAAAGTGCATTTTGTTGCAAACTGTTAAAAGGGGATAGATGAAGGATGAAAAGAGCTCCCAGGAAGGTAAGACAAAGTGTAATGGATTTGACCAATATTCAGTATATCAGAACAGAGTCTCCAAAAGAAGCATTCATCTCCAGTTTCAGTATTTATTTAAGATTTTCTACCTGTATTTCTTAACTTTTTTTTTCTTTTAGCATAATCAAAACAAATTTTGTGGATCTTGGATTACCGTTCTAAAATACCTAAGATCTATTATTATATTATACTGTGACAATGCCTAAGAGTTTGGTTTATAGGATACTCAAGTTATTATGGATCTGGATCAATTGCTATAAAAGCTTTTCTATGTGTGATGCCTGTTAAATTGAATTGGATTTCCCAAGTTCTTTTAGTTTCTTGTGAAAATAATGTCAGCCAGTTAAGATACACTGGAGTTTTAACAAGAATAAAATATTCTTTTTGCAGCAAGGAACTGCATTTCTTTACTTTGCTTTAACTGTGGAATGAGTAAGGGTTTCCAAAGAAAGCCTCCTATTTTTAATATAGAAAAAGTCATCCAAGCAAAAATTAGATCTCCATGTATCTAAGCTTCTATTTCTTGCAAAGGAGCCATTACTTCAAGCTCATTCCAAAAAGTTGTTTAAAAAAGTGCCCAATCTCAGCATGACCAAAATAAAACTCAGAATTTTCAAAGATCAGCTGATGCCTATAGTATCATAATCAGGCACTTAAAAAATTCCCCCAGAGGAAATATTAAATGACAACCTTAGTGGCTGCAGATGTAACCTTCAAAACCAAGTATTCACTATGGACACTGCACTCACTATTTTTCTGAACTTAGAAATATGTGTAAACTATTTGTAAATGGGACTATCAACTTTCTACTAGAAACCAAACAGATGACTAAAAATGGCTGGTGGATATTCCATGAACTTGCTCACAACAGAAAAGCACAGAAAACTTGGGATGAATGACTCCCAAGCAGAAGTGAAATTTATACATAAAAGCCAGAATCAACGCAGCCAGTTTCACGCACCTCAGATGAAAAATCCCCTTTAGATTCTGGTCTCAAATCATTCCAGGCACACATACCTCCAATATTTGTTAAACAAACTATGCCAGCTTGCTGCAGAATTGAATCTGATGCTTAGTAAGATACTACTGTATGTAGAAGGACGTCAGAAGTACTTTTTAAATATCAGGAGGTTTTATCCTTTATAGGAATGTATGACTGGAAAGAACACATAAGCCGCTAAGCCCAGTCCCTTGCAACCACAGGCAATTCCATCATATCAAACTCTCCCTGAAGCTAGTACATTTTTTGGTCTCAGTATTTCTAAATCTAATACAATTTCTAAATAATTTCTATATATAATTTTACATAATTCTATATAATTTCTGTATAATAATTTCTATATATACCAATTTATGAATATTTTCTATATAATTTCTATAAGATAATTTCTATAATTTCCAAATAAAATATTTTAAAAATCGTGCTCATTTTTTACATATTCAAGCCAAGGTTTCAGTGACTGGAAAAGATACAATGTAAGGCAATTCTCTGTTGAGGGGGTAGAGGATAGGGACTCAGCACTTCTTCCTCACTTATTTTCTCTTTCTGTGCTCACAGATGTGGAGAACACTTCTGAGGTTTAAGGAAGTCCTGCTTAAACCCATGCTGCCAAGAAAACATGGTGAAGAAAAGACTAAATTTGAAGTCCCAGGCTTTAATTAAATATCATCAAACTCCAAATGAGAAATTGTGCTGTTCTGTAATTCCAGGTTACATTAAACGGCCTGAGACAAGCCCAGATTGAAAACCAGCACTGCACTGTAATTACTCTTCCAGAAATATTGCTTGTCTGCCCGCCTCAGCTTTGATTCTGCTTTCCAGAGAGGCCCTTTCCACGAAGGCTGGAATTTTACAGCCTTCTTCCCTTACAAATGTCATCGTTATTCCATTCCCACTTAGCAATCACTTCTTAGGAGGAAGTTTTTCAGCAATATACTCAATTCGGCATGCCCCAAGGACCACTTTTTGTAGCCCCACACACTGTAGGGTGGGGGCAGCCTTCACAGTCAGAAGGAAAACGGCCAGGGTGTAACTTGTGGTGCTGGCAGCACCAAAGCTTTAAGATTTCAGGTTGTCTAGAGCCTACTCCCTGCCACCACGGACACTCCACTGCTGACACAGCTGAGGAATGAGTTTAGTGTCTGGAATATGAAAGAGCATCTAAAAAGATACTTATAACCCAGAAGAGAAACACAATCAGGCACATCAGAACTGATAGAGCCTTGTTCCTTTGAGCAGATTGCACCAAGGTTGTGCTGGGGGCTTATTAGACACCAGAAAACCCACAGAAGAGTAAGGCTCAATGAAAGCTCAGTCTTTATGGGCCATCTCCTTCATGTCTGCTATACATTATCTAGCTGGGAACCCATGTGGAGAGAAGCCCCAGATGAAGACAAGACTTCCCAGTCCCTGCCAAGGGCTCAGACTCAACCTGTGTGGCCTTCCCTTGGCCAAGGAACTTGCATCACTTTGCTGCTGTGTAGATGCTTTGATGCCTACCAAGGCATGGAGCTCACACAGGCTCCTCTCTGCAACTCCGCCATGGCTTCCTCTCTGATAGCTGGGTGCCTGTTTTTTTTTTGGAACTCACAGGATTTTTGCATTTTATGACCACTGCTGTTCTGTCAAATGAGGGGAAATCAGCCAGCAGATCCAGATGTTGCTGGCAGGGCCTCAGACACAGAGAAGCTGCAAAAAAAACTTTTAAAAATCCCTGCACCCATGGATTCATTTCTGCACCCACCTATTTTCAAATGGAGATGAGACCTGTGATCATAAAGGACCTTACTGAGGGAAATCCCAGGGAAAATCTCAGCAGAGCTTCGATTTCACCCAACTAGCTCACTCTCCTTTTCCGCTTCACTCCTTTTCCACTCTAATAACTGCATTATTTCTAGAGCAATTGCAAACTCTTTTCAGGACAGCATTTCCTCCAACCTGAGACAAATAAGAAACAATTGCACTAAAGTCAGTAGAGCTACCCAGGGTAAAGTTGGCAAACAGAAGAGAAGAATGGGTTTCCTTGCCTTATTTTACTGAGAAACATAATAAAAAGCACCAGCTTTTCATGCCTTGCCAAGAACTGACTGTCCTGGAGTTTACTGCAATGCAAGTGAGACAGACTCCTGAGGAATATAAAATATAATGATTGTTTTATCTAAAGCTACTTGAAAGGGGCAATTCTTTGCTATGTGAAGCCCAAATCTACTCTTGCTTGCATCAAGGAAAGTTTCCCAGGTGTAAAATCAGTGCAGGATAAAACTCAGTGCCCAAGATCAATGGGGAAAAGGAGATTTAGTCTCCTATCTCCACCCGCAGAGAAAGAGAAGTGCATCTTTGTGTGTGATTAACTACTTTATGAGGCAAAGGATACTGTTGGAGCTTCTGTTTCTGGTTCATAGAGTTGCTGTGGGCTATGATTTTCCCAAGGCCGGTGATCCAGTGGTTGGCATCATCCTCTGAGTTTGCAATGAGGTCCAGGTTTTTCCGTTGGTCTTTGAAAATGATGGAAAAGCAGAGATGCTCTGGGACATTCTTGGCGTACTTTTCCATACCTTCTGTTTTATGGCCTGACCTCACATCCCGAATATCTTCAATGGAGACTGTGGAAAGAAAACAGAGCATCCTGTCAGCAGGGGTTTGGTCAGCCTTATCTCCATTTGGTGATGGATGTTAGAAAATTACTTTTTTTTTTCCTTTTTCCTGCAACTTCTCCCTACCATTGCTGGAGGATTTCCTTCCTTTCCCCCATTCTCTAAACTTGGGTACCAAAAAAAGCTGAAATCAAAAGCAGCAGTAAGAGAAAGAAGAAAAAGTAAACACACACACACACAAAAAGAGCTTCTCCTTTGTTCTTTTCCCATATCCTTTATTTAACAAACAAGCAAAATTGGTACTGGATGTGATACTCTCTTATCACATTTATGAGACATAAATCATCTCAAAGACCTTGGCTCTGGTCTGCAGAGCATCACGGACTTGACCCTAGTCTACATCTGCAAACGGGGAGAGCAAAGTGGTGCCTCTCCTGATGAGCATCAGGACATGCAACCCATTACATCTATCCACCCTACTCCAGTACCTGGATCTGTCACTGAGACCATGGATTTCTAACTGTCCAGCCTGAGATGTTGCTGCTCAGAGACAGGAGCTACCAGTTTCAGAAATCTGTGTCCTTTTCCATGCTTTCAATAGCACAGCCCAAGAGGGACACCAGCCATTGGTCATTTTTTTCCACCTTTCTTATCCACCTATAAACACAGAGGGAACTTTGATGAAAAGTAGTATGCAAGTGCAAAATATCCACACTATTTGGCTGAAGAGGAGAAACTTGTCTTTAAGCATCCATACCTCCTGCTGCTTCATTTAAATTGGTGCAGTTTCATTCTTAAAGTTTTTAATTATTTCAAAGTCAACACTGCAGAAAGATATGTCAGTATCTACCCACACAGTTCTAGCATGGCTTCCCTGGGATCATCCAAAGTTCATGGATGCATATACAAGTTTTTAAATCTCCTTTTTTTCACTTTGGCATTCACAATATACTCAGCTGCATAAAATATGTTCAGTTTAAAAGGAAAAAAAAAACAACAACAACAGAAACACTTCACTTTTGAAAAATCTTTAACTATCCAAAACCACCACTTGACCTTTGCTTTGAATTTCCACCATGTGCTGGGATGGCCAAACATCTTCCATAACACTTTGTTGGTGTGGTCTCTATACAAGAACTTGCCAGGGAACAGGGAAGTGCTTCCCAGAGTTGGCAAAAACCCTCCTTGATGATGAGCAATTATCTTTGTGTTTATCACTCGGCAAAGACCAAGAGTCAACCGTGGATGTGTCTGAGGGGAGAGAAGGAGAGAGCTGGGTTGGGCAGGGCTGTTGTGGAATTATGCTACCCGGCCAATTTACTGTGAGTGAAAACTTATGGCTTTGAGTGCTAAAACTCTCCTTGAATAAGAGAACTGCAGTTCCCCCACAGCTAGGCTGCTGATTGTAAGTGTTCCCACTAACTAGCACAGAGGGAAAATGAAAGAGATTGTGCTTTAAGTTACAAAACTACATATCTTGCACCCTTACTGGAAAGGATGCTGTCATGTTTGGAGGCATTAACCTCAATTAAAATGTCCAAAGTTTAATTAGGCTCCTTTCATAAGCAATTCAAAAACAAAACAAACAAACAAATAGACGCCTTTTGAAACATAACCTTTCTGTCCTATTTAAATATACCCTTTAGAGAGAGATAAATCACACCCTTAACTACAAGGCTACAGTGGACCATCTACCAAGAGGACAGATGTAGACACGCACATTGCAGATGGTCCATAGGTAGGTGACACTTCTCCAAAGCCATCCTGCTCTGGTTGTGACTGTCCATGTGGAAGTTTCACCCTGTTGTTCCTAATCACCTGCCAACTGCTCATCACCGCTTCGCTCTTAGGAGGTATTTTCCCCTCAGACCGGCTAGCTAATCTGCTTGTGCAATCAATCCCTAGATTTGGGGTTGGCAAGCACCTGGTGTTTCCTAGGCTAGAAAATCTGATGTTAAATGCTGGAAATTTAGAATAGATTATTTGGAAACCATTATCTGGCAAAGTAAATCTGCTGGAAAAAAAGAGAGCTGTGTGGGAGGAGAGAAGACTGCAATTCTGTGTCTGGAAAGGCTGCCTTCTCCTTTGTGAGGCTTTCTGCTACGAGGAAGATGATGGGGAGCACAAGGGTCCTCCATGTAGAAAAAGTACAAGAAAAGTCGAGGAACAGGATCAGTGTCTCGCATAACCATGCAAGAGACTAGCAGAGGGACTATCAATGCAGGAACTGTTGAAAAAAAAATAAGGGAGGGAACTTTTTAAAGCTTTCCATAGCCTGGCCATGTGTTCAGTTTTCATGTATCAATAAAGAGCTGAAGCCAAAGGAGCTGGCCAAAGCCATCTGTAAATGTTATCTCTTCCCTACTCTCGGAAAATCTGAACCCAGCACGAATACATTATCAGTTGCTCCAGAACAGTGGGTGTACTGTGCTAGCAGCCCTGCAACCATCCCAAACTCACTGTGTGCTCAGCTGAGCTAACTGCAAGGAGAAATCAGAAACAACTGAGGGACAGAGATGCATTTTAAAGCAGAGGATCACTTACAGCAAACTCCCATCTAACACATATCACTGCAGCCTCCCCGTCCTTCTCCATCCCAGCACAGCAGAGAAGAAATGAAAGCCAGAAGAGAAGTTGGAAAGTTTGCATCTGCTTCTCCTGAGTATTAATGTCTGCAGAAGAGGTGGTTTGTGTAAAGCCCAAAACACGAAGCGGACACAAGGGATGTTGTATCCTTCCAGGCCTCTAATCATCAGGCCAAACAGGTCACATCCAAGCCAGCCTCCCCCTGCCATGGATGCAGCTCAGCTAGTGCCACAGTTAACAGTAGGGTTTCTCCCCTCTGCATGTGGGCTCACAGGGACATACAGCAGCATTCCCTGGGGTCAGTGAGGTTACACATGTCTGAGCAAGTCAGAGGGAGACAAGAAATCTGTTTTTTTTT